TATAATAAACAAATTTAACCAGATGGAAACCAGAAGCTGTTAAAAAGAATGGAATAAAACTGTGTTCAACAAACGTGCAGCGTTCCATGGGAATTATTTTGAACGGTTTATCTTCGCTATAACTCGCCGGAATATCAACTGGGGACGATGTGACACGCTCGACTACGTTTAGCATCAAAGCCTATAAAGGATCCCAATATTCCCATAACTAGGACTCCCAACTTGGCGGTGCAATAATCATCTGAGTTTCGTTTCCCAACCTTAAATAGCGAAGATAACAAACGGAACCTCAAGAACAAACAGAGGAAAACCGAATTCTGGATATTTCCGGAATCGGAATATCAGCCAGCGTTCGATGCTATTTACGTAAATCTCAATAACGGTGGAAAAGTTACCTTCGTTCAGATTACCGTGAAACAGAGAAAAGAATCGTGTGACACGGAAAAATTACAAGAATATCTTTACCGGTTATGCGATGAAGTGGAGCTCTTTGGGAAAAAACCTGGCGGGAAGGGGCGCTCTACCAGAAACAGGCCTCGCAACCTGGTAAAAGGCCTAACGATGTGGAATTTTGTTATTTGATTCCACACGAGCACCCGAATTTCACGTTTTCTGAGCCCAAGAAAGTAATCGTCCATTTGCGGATGGCCTGGGACAGAGGTACCAGAAAAGGGAAAAATAAGAATTCACTACTACAGATTCGACACCCACCAGTTTATGAACTAGTGGACTGGAATTATGGTAAGTTGGTCTGAATCCTTTGATTTTCACTGTAAGATGTAAAACTGCCGCGGTAGTGAATATTTCTTTCAGAAAAAGCTACCTAGACCACCGCGACACCACGTTACGCTCTTTTCCGACTTCTTAAAACTTTTGAATAACACGGCACTGCCCTGTTGCTTTTGATAGGAAGTTTTCGAGTCCTGCATATAGACGTTCGGTTAACTCTGCATTTCAAACAACGTACTGTGTGAAGCGAATCATGCGATTTTAAATATTTCTTTATCAACGCACTGGATGCAGTTTATTATTTGCTTAACTGGTGAAATTGTCCGGAGCGCAGTGAAGGTTGTTCCCTAGTTATATAATACCAATACCTAAACGACGTCTTTGCCGAAATTCCTTTGTGGCGTATTTTCTGTCGAAATTGTGGGCATCATCAGTGGTACTGATGTTTCCCTAAAAATAAGCCGGCAGTCAAGTCTCCAGCCACTACCATGATGAGCCTGCGCTCCGGTCTGCCAGTACCCAGTTTGGTGCGTTTTCCTATTAGGAAAGTGTTACACAAACTGGGGTTGTATGACGGCCGCAGTATTACGTAACTCATAAGCAGAAGCGGTCAACCGATTCCGTATGCATGTACATAGAGCGGTGCATACAGCATTCCGGCTGCAAAAAAAATATAAAGTTATTGGAGTGGAATAGCATAACGTGGTGCGCACTCTGAACGTGTCAGGACAAAACCGGAAGCCACATCCTATTAACGCCGTTTTTCTAGATTTGGGAAAAACCAATAAAGGAAAATGTCATAAGAAACAACTTATTTTTTTTGCCATCGCTATAAAGAGATTTCAGCACTGAAGCAGGCGCAAGGTACGTGATAATTACACCCTGCTGCAGATGACGTACAGGTAACGATTAGCAAACTTTTGCCATTATTTCTCCCGGCCGTTACGATAATAATGCTTACAAAACCTACATTTGGCAAGCTGTGATGGTATATTTTAGGTTGATGCGAATGGCCCCGGTGAGTCGGAAGAGCACTGTGCGCGAATACCTTTGTGAGGTTCTGAGTTCCATTATTTTCTGAATGTAGATACTTTGAGTTTTTGAAACACAGCATTTTGTACAACTAATTCTTTTCTTATCCTTCGACAAGCAATGCAAAGAACCTGACCTTAGTTTTCTCCACTAAACTTGTACTACTTCCTACTAGAAAGGTGTCGAAATTTGTTGCAAAAAAACCGACGATGAAACCAACCCGTAAAACCTTGACTGCATGCAACGGCATAGTTAGTGAACCTGAATGATGGAGCGTAGATGTAAGCCTGATGAACCCTGATTTAAACCCAACTTTTCGTTTCGCGCTACTATTCGGTTAGTTATCAAGTCCCAACGATCGTTGCTGTCGTAGACTTCCCCCTCAGACTGGCGTTTTTTCTGCTCACTGCTGCACTCGTGTGACTACTGAGATGGACGTCCGTGGGACTACGCCAATTCCTAATGGTCAATTCGCCTGACTCGTAGACAAATCGCTGAATTTCAGGGCTTTAATCGTTAGTCAGCTGTGAATTGGTCCAAATATGTGATTTTCTGAGACTCGTCAGTCTACCGCACATGAGCAACCCATATACTTACTTAATTGACTGCACATCAGAAACGATGCACTGTGCAGCTAGCAAATACGATGCGGCACTTCTTTACGTTTATTTAATGTGTAGGGTACTCCAGGTACCCGTTTGCCTGTACAGATACTAGCGCCTTGATGGCACAGATTACAAGATTTGGTTGTTGATCTTCCCGCAGTTCAGAATGGACGAACAAAGAAAACAACTTTATCGGTGCCTTGTTGAAAATTGGTCATAGACTTGTACGAGTCCAGTAAAGTGACCACGGTCTTTCCCTACACCAGCGCCAGCTATCCGAGAACGGCCTTCCGTTTGTTAAACTTGAACATCCTGTCAACATTACCCGTTACTGCAAATCTTGGACAACGATTACGTAAATCTTGGATAAAATTATGTAGACACAAATATTATTAATTTTAATATTTTATCATAAAATCACTGCACAGGCGACCCTTCAGAGTATCGCTGTCAGATCTCTCGACTTATGAAACGTTCCTTGTTGTGTGTCGGGTTCCGGTGAATTTAGCTTCAGTTAAATCATTCAACTGACCTTTCAATAAGTCTGCTGGGTGGTAATTATTATCGCGAAAAAGTCCTCGATAAAGAATGGCGAAACGCGGAAAAATCGTCTATTAAGGAGGTGAAAAGAAGAAAGCCTCCTCGATGGTCGATGGTGAAAAAAGAAAAATTCTCCACAACATGACGAAAGAGGAAAAATCATCGGTTAAAACTGTGAGAAGAAGAAACCCTCGCCAAAACATGGGCTTTCGAGTGCAAGGCTTCGCGCAGACCTGATCCCTCGATTGATACTTAAGTAATGCAATTCATAAGCGCGTTAGCAGGTTGAACAGAAACGAAGTTTGTTGTTGTTGTTTGTTTATAAGTACAACCCAGCGTAGCGTTCTGTACAGTGTATTTAATGAAGTTTGTCGGTGTGTAGGTTGTTACAGTATTTACGTTGGGTTGGTCCCAAGAAACCGGTGCTTTCGAAATTAACGGGGACGTGACGCGACATTAAAATAATGTAAATGGCATGCAGGCGTATCGCATTTATAGCAGTAATGAAAATAATATTGCTCTAATGGCAGTGCTTAATTGATTACATAAAAAGGGACGCTGCACGAACTAATTAACGTACAGTAGAGATATTATGCCTCGGCCCTTCCTTTAATTCGTCCATGTTTTATGCAAGAAGTCATGTTTTTATGCAAGAAGTGTTCACGAGAGATTTCAGAGCCGTCTACATCACTGGATTATCATACGGATTTACTGTTTTAATTGCATTCAGTTCTTGCTTCTTTTGGGTAATCCATGACAAATCGTCGTTTGCTGTAATGAACCGCAAAGGAGAGCAACGTAAACAAACGGCGACCAATATTGTTATTTTTAAACCGAGGCATTGCCAGTTATCTTTATTTTACTGTGGTTGATTTGCAGCATGTACTACCGATCCATGCTCGTTTTTTTATTGCTGGCAAATTCCGCCGCGTTAAACCGCAAAAGGTCTGGACACCGCCACGATGAAATGCGACACCCTGTGGCGAATCTTTGTACACACCAGCACTAAACGATGTGATGGAATTAATAGGATATTTGATAAATCATTTAAAACAATTATTAAGGTAGAATAATAATATGATGCCTGTTTATCGTATAAAATACTTCATAGCATATCATACTAATCTAAAGTTATTCGAAGATCGAGAATCTGGAGGAGCATACCGCGCAGCACCTCTTCCTGACTTCCAATGGACTGAAGCGCACTGAGAATCCAGCTGCGCATTTAGTTTCTGCGGCATAACTGCAAAATACGCACCACATCTGCAAGGGATAACACGATTGGCTGAACGAGTTTGAGCCACAATCGCGGACCGGAAGTCTCAGTAGGTAATTTATTTATAATCTGATTGGTTCCCGCGCCCATCTATTTCGACCAGCCAAACGGACATGGTACAGTGCCGAGTATTCGCCTTTGAACGTTCAAGGCCATCACTGCGAGATACCTTCACTGAATTTATCATTTCGATTTTTTATTCCGCTTTTTATATTATTACTAAGTCGTTAAGGTGCATTTGTTTTTCCCCAAAGGTCACCTGCAAGAGGTCTGTTCGCTGGAGATCGCACACAACGTGCGGAAGACGATCGAGAATCTGGCGCATCTGGCGGATTGCCGCTCCTGGAGATCCTGGAAATCCCCAACTTCCGCCCGGAGGATCCGCGGATTGTAGATATTCTCGCGATTATGCCAAGTCAAATCTGCTGCATCATTGCGCTGAACCATCTGGACATGAACATGGTGTTCCTACAATCGCGCATGTGCAGAGGCACTGCCCTTAATGCTGGACACAAATTCTCTTCAGTTTTATTAGTTTTTTTTGTAATAGGCTTTTTCTTTACACAGGCTTATCATACACGTATTAAAAAAAAAACAAAAATAAAAAAATAATAAGGAAAAATAGCGAATACCTAATACGATTACAAATTATTGAACATAAATATGCAATCGATAGTACAGTTAATAAGAATATGGAATAAACTGAAAGTAAAATACACAGTCAATAAACCAATTATAAAATGTTAAGATAATAAAAATAAAACACAACAAAATTGAATGGAAGCAGCTATACAAGTCTGTCTGGTGTTCCTTTTTGACAGGCATCGTGGTGGAGCAGAAGCGGAGCTGGCGTTCTGCCTGGAGCAAAAATCACAAAGAAACGTTTAAAGAGAGCGTTCAAAGTAAACAGGAGCTGTACAAAACAGACACAGTATTGTACAAAGAAATTAGTCTCATGTTTTTCAGATCTATTGGCACTGCGCATCAACGCCCAAACTTGCAAAAGCCTCATGGAGGACATTGTTAGCCCGATCGAGCGACCCGAACAATATGTAACGCCTTTTCCTTAGCATAAATTTTATCATTGCAGCATTACTATCTTTGCGGACATTTGTATGTTTGCAGCGCGGGATCCAGCATTTTTCCGTGCAGTGTAACGAAGAAGTTACCCCACAACGTCATAGCGAAGAGGCCAGTGACGTTCCGGCTTACGGCGCAGATGAGCGGCAGTCCGAAGGGATATTTGCCGGCGACAGTCAAGCGATGCAGTACAACTAACCAAGAAGTTAGCGTGGATGCCGAGCACCATGCAGACCAATAACAGCGACCATCCGCCGTCGCTATCGGCAGGCGACAACGCAAACAGCGACAACTCGCTCCACGCACTGTTAAGCGGGACTAATCGACAACTACCGCGCACGGATGACCTTCAATTGAAGTCGTTGAGTCGTACGATTACTGAAGCGCAGCAATTCGAAGACACACGCAAGCGGACGTTTATGCACTGGTTTCTTTAGAAAAGGCCATGGTTCCTAAATATCGTTTCATCAGGAGAGCCGTTTACAAGGATTACATGATTGCGTTAGGAAATTAGTGAAGCTGTTTTTCTTTGCACTTTATGCATTATTGTAGCCGGTGCCGTTCGCGGTCTGTTTTGCGGTAAAGTATGCGATTGCTCATATGGAAAGCGATCAAACGTTGCAACTGCCTGCACCCGAAATACATTTCAGGATATACAAAAGTAAGCAGAAATAACGTAGTGACAACTTGAAATTATGGTCGTATTGATAAATCCAAGAAATATACTCAGAAGTATTTCTCTCAGAACGGTAAAACTTGCTGCGCGTAATTTGCCGCTGTAATCCGCCATATCGTTGACGGAAATTCGTCGACCGTCACTAATGGTAAGTCGAACAGACAAAATGCTGAGCCGTCACAAATTAAGAAGTCACGATGCCGACGCAATGCCTTTGGGGTGCCTTTGACCTGTGACATAAAGGTGGCGCCAAGCGGTGCGGAACTACATAAACGTGACCATACGTAAATTATACGCGCAAGGCGCAACAGCCGTTACCCTGTTTGCACAGAAAATAGTACGAAGCCTTGTAAAACGGACGTTCCAAAAGTCTGCTTCCTTCTGAACATGGAACATAATTGACTCTTAACTTTTTTGGCATACAAATACATCGGCATACAAATTTTGAAAGAGAGGCGTCCAAAATTATTTGTGAGCGATGTCAGGAAGAGATTGGTTTAAAATTTCGTCCGGGCGAAAATAAAAGATTTCTTACATGTACACGAGTTTTGTACCATGTACCGGGCCACTTTCCTTAAGTTGTACCTTTTATACTAGTGGAACAAGCAATAATTTTAATAAAATGAAAATATTCGGTTTATAACAAGCGTTTGGCTGATTATTATTTCTTCCGGAATTTTAAAGACGCAGTTATTGCGAAAGACTTAGTGCATTGTTGCACGAAATTATTACAGTGTAATCGACTGAATCGAGGCGAAGGCCTTCTGTGTTCAAGAAAACAGGGCTTTCTGTCACGTCGATCACGCACAGATAAATTATAGCGCAATCGTTGTCGTCCAGAACCACTTCGTAAACTACCATCAACATTATACTCTGTTTGCTCCTTTTGCGCTACCTTCCATTTAGCACTATAGTGCACTATAGCACTAAGGTAGTGCACTATAGTGCACTGCCTTTTCGGCACTCCTATTTCATTCGGTAATTTACCTTTGACACTACCACTTGTTCGGTGTCCTAGCACTGATTTTTCGCTCATCATGACGCAGAAGATTCAAAGTAATAGCTGGTTCGATTCTCCAATCCACCCCATGTTTCATGGGGAAAGGCCGGCCTACTGTAGATAAGCCGATTTATTATTTACGCAGGCGGACATAGTAAGTGTACGTAAAGTACTGAAAATAAAGTGCTGCATATAAAAAATTAAAGAAAGTACTTATTGTATACTACTGTAAATACCTATATAACTTATACCGACCATTCCGTACAGTACACTACCTTTCCTCAATGGAGGGCTGGATTGCCCCTGCGTCAATGATTACGCCCCACTGGAAGTGCGGCACAAATTACACTAACTAACTAGCTTAAATAATTTAATTTATTTTATTTTATTTTTTATTATTTAATTTTTTATTTATTATTATTTTACTTAATTTATTTACTGTGTTTATTTTATTTCATTGTGACTTGTTGTGTGCTACGGCCTACGAGTCATGACTTGGCCGTGCGCCTCGAATGTTCGGGAGCACCCATTTCACCTTGGCTTTTTATGGTAGTCTCGAAGTCACAATATTTTTTATTATCCTTAATTTTGTTGCGGTAATTTTTCTTTGTCATTAAAATATTTCCCAGCAGTTTCGAATTTCTCGTTGCGTATTCCTGATGTACTTACTTAACAAGGATTATTATGAATGAAATGTTACTGTATAATTATTGTATTAAACCAAATCTGCACGAAGAGTACGAATAGTGCATTTAGTAGAGTCGGTACGTACTTAATAACGTTTAATGCGGAATGGAATCCGCAAGCGAAATGTATAGTAAGTACTGTGCAACCCTGAAAACAATTCTAACAGAGTCCTCTTTTGGAAGATTGTTGGTGGCTGCTGCGTTGTTAGGCATCCCATACGGCAAACACGGGATACGCCGCGGCGCTTGTTGGTCTGCTCGAAAACAGTCGTCCAGACTTAGTTCCCTCTTACGGTCTTACCTAATGCTTGATGTTAGCATTCTCGAGTTACTTGCAGTGGTAATAATTCCTCGCGCTCAGGTACAGGGCTTCTACCAAATTTCACCGTTCCCGTAATACATCATTATACATGTTTATTCGTCTGAGACCCATGCATTTTCCTCCAACATGTCGCGACATATGCCACGAGCGTCGCCCAGGATTCGTCGCGTTAATCACGTGAGTATCTTGATTTCTGGGTAAAGAAACATGAGAGGAAGCCTGTCACTTCACGATCAAACCGCGGTGACCAACCAGTACGTCCAAACGAAAATTTCTAGCGGAGGTTTTGGTGGTTGAGCCGCCCAATACTTCCCGCACATTTACCGCCGGCTCAGTTTTTCTTACGATTCAGCCATTATGTTCTGAATCATTGAATGTGTTTTTAAGCCGGAAATATGTGTTCATCATCAATATTTTTAAAATTTTTTCAACTTTCATACATTTGCCAAATTTTGTGAATTCTTTAATGCTTATTAATAACCGCATAATTTTCCCAAGTGCCTGAAATTTTGTGTTTAACTTCTTAAACTGCAAAAAGTTTCCAGAACTAGTTAAGTTCAGTTAACAAAGATAGTGGTGTGGGGTATGACTGCCTCGTCGAAAATATTAGGAGGACAAAATTTACGGGGGATGTTGTTTTTGGCTCGGGGGCGTTTTTGGCCGATGTACTGTACCACATACCAGCCAAAAAAACGTCCACCGACCGTTTAATTCGCTGCGAAATTTTAATCGCATATAAGAGCCCTAATTAAATGGCGCTCTTGTGAACGTATTGGGTTATTTGCTCTCGCTATACTTTCTCACGCTTATTGCTTCTCCGGTTTGGAGAAACACTCAGCGAGATGAAACCTCCAGTATAAGGGAAGAAAAAGAATCCATCTGCGGGTTTAGAACAGAGATCGCTTGTACAATTTCGGCACCCGAACCTACTGTTGGCTGGCCTGTTGGTCCACCTCGTCTGACCGCGCTGCTTTGGCCTGCCGCCATCTCGAGGGCGGTCCTATTTCGTTTCGCCGGATTCTGTAAAGCCGGATCTGCGACCATGCGTCTGCCGCAACTTCCAGTATGTACCGTGAACCGGTTAACACTAACATGTACCCTTTCATTCAGTAAATGGCCAACCAGTTATTCTTATTCTATTATTTAAATGTTTTATTGCTGTAGCAATTTATTAATTTATTAATTATTATAATTTATTTTTCTAGTAAATTTTACTTGTTTACGGCTTCGGTTTATCCATTCGTTCACACCCTTCACGATTATGGTCAGCTACGAGGAAGCGTCATTTTAGAATAATAATTTCAGCAACCGTGTGCTCGCATTTGCTGGCAAACATGCCGTGTTGAATGGCAGCCATTCCAGTGCAACTGACCTTTTTAAAAATTAATATATGTGAGATTAATTCGTAGCTTTTGGCGCATCAAAAACCTCCTGCAGTTCTGGCCTGCCATTCTATCGAAAAATTCGCGCATCCGATTTTCTAAATCATGTAATCAGTCGGTCACATACCAGGGAAAGTTGTTCGAACCGGCGACCTTTTCGAAACATTTTTCTCTAACGTTTCCGCTGGTTAAATTTGCTGTTCAAATTGTAATCGTAATCCTGTTGTCAACTGTTCTTCTCGATGTGCGCAGTACGGTAATACCGCGTCCCGCTGCAATAAACCGAGAGGAATGATTAGCAACGACCTCAGTTATCGCTTAACGTTCACCGCATCATTTGTACTCATTTGCGCTTTGGGTAAGGCGGGCCGAGCATTACCCAAAGCGCTTTCATTTGCGCTTATTGCTTTCTGAGATGTTGGCTTCATTTTGGCTGGCAGGAGGCGTTCAACCCGAATGACCTTTTAAGATACCATTTCTGTGCAGTTTCCCCTGGTAAAATTTTTCCGATGACTGTTCTTCAACGTCCTTATCGAATTTATTAACTTTTTGCTTACAGAACGCGTTTGACCCATTGATCTGCTTGAAGCACTGTTTTGTAATATTGCCTACGGTTTCTCAGTAGCGAAACGAACCAGTTATACGGTAATCTTCCCTTGTCTGCGATGGAGCTTTATTATTTCCGTATCCCGTTGCGTTTTAACGATGAGTCGCGGCTGACATTTCGGATTCGCTTGATTCTTTGCTTCCCTTCAGTGACTGTTCATTCACTTCATTATTAGAATAATTTTTGTATCGCGCTGCTTGTGCGGTTTCGGTTTCCCAGGTCCTCAAGCTATGTACGATTATTTTAATGAGAGCGTGGAAAGTTTGTATCTGTAGCATTTGAATATGGCATCGTTTCTGTTACGTTCATTTCCTTAAATGGTATGCAGTTTATAAAATGACCCAGCCTGACCGAAAAATTCTTCCCGTTTTTTTGTTGAGAAATTCCCGCGTCGAAGCGGTATTCGCCAGTTATATGTAACCCGCGCTGTGATTTTCACCAATCGAACGCCTTTTTTAAATATCCTCTTCCCTCATAGAAATAGAACTCGAGCCAGGACGTCAAAATGGTCTTTTAGGAGCGTTTCGGTTGACCGCGTTTCGGTATGATATGGTTCACGCTCCGTTAGTAGGACAGTGACGTGCATGACAAGCGGCCAACTATTCGAATTCCGTTGACCGCATCGCGCGCACCCACTGCCTCCGATAACTGTTCTTCAACTTCTTTATCAGTTTTTTTCTTATTACACAGCTAATTCGGTTTCCCCCGATTTTGATGCTGTGCACGATTATTCTAATCACGACTTTGGCAGTCGGTCAGGGGAAATAAACCTGCCTGTTACATTCTTTGCAGTGCTTAGAATATTATTTTTTATTATTATTCGAGCCAGTCCGGAAAAGTTTTCGAATACTTCTGTTCAGAATCTCGCGCATCCCAGCTGTGTGCGTCGAATGTATGTAAGAAGAGCTAGTGTTATCGGCAGTGGACGTTTTGGTCATCCTTTGTCACCGTTCAATTCTTGAACTCATTACTGACATTTTTTTTAATTAAGTGTAACGGGACATTTTGTACAGTAATTAGCCGGTTTGTCCCAATGAAGAAGCGCTCCGTTAATTTCTGCGGTATCTGACGATTCGCATTTTGATATTCCTCAGTATCAGGTATTTGATGATTATAACGAGCGTAAATAGTAGATAATCGATAGGTAAGGTCGACGTTGTTGTATTAAACGGTTTAAACCCTACATATTGGCTGGTTCTAGTAGCGAATCGTATCTGTATGATAAATACGTTTGTACTGTTACAGCTACTCCGTATTTCAGTATCACCAGAACGTTTGCGATATTTCAACGTTCGGTGCTTACTGTTTACGGAGTGCCTGTTGAGCCTGCAGACTGTCAGCTCAATGTGATACCGTAAGTATCTAGTCTGTGCCAGGTCCATTCAAGAATTTAATTTCGGAAGTTAAAGGATTCAAGTTATTAAAAAAACGTAGTGATGCTATACGTACTGAAATAAGTACAAATAAAGGTCGCATCAACGCGTGTTTGAGTTCACAATAAACATCTGTAGTCTATAGCATTTTGTCGAGACATATTCTGATGTACAAGGTGGCCATGGTTACTATAATTTGCATACTTACTTATCTTTAACACACGTCACAATATTATAAAATGCCATGGGTTCTGGATGTGGGATCCGTAAAAATACCTGGCTTGCTGTGTAGTACAGTACCTACTAATCGTAGTGCCTCGTACGCAAGGTGAACAGTACGGATAAGTAAGTACCCAACGAAACGGTATCAAAACTGTGCGATAAAAACGACAAATCTGAAATAAAAGTACGTAATATACGATCAATAATAATACAATTATAAAACTGTAAAGTTTGTAAAATAAATGAGAAAATAATAGAGTACTTCCACATCTTGCTTGTGGTGGCAGACTCGAAAAATCAGTGCTCGAATTTTCACTTATACGGTATGTGGATTAGGATCGTTAGAGTTCATGTGGCAGATTATGCATCAAATTTTTTTTATTGCGCTTCGTCGCGGGACATCACATACGAGAAAGCGACAGCATAACAGAAATACTAATGCGAAATGACCTTTGCTGTCTTTCACTCTACTCCTCCTCCCGTCGTCTGGACACCCGATTAGACAGTTTCGGCGGGGTCGCCGGCGCGCCAGACCGGGACGCCGTGATCGGCCGCGCCCCCACCCGTCCTTTCACTGGGGTCCCCGCGTGCACGTACCCGCCCAGCACCGGGATCTTCCCCAGGATCATCCACACCGCGTTCATCACCGCCTGGTACACGACATGCACCAGCCCGGCCACCTTGTACACCGGCCCGACCAGGGCGTTGCGGATCCCCCCGGCGCCCGACGGGGCGTGGTGGTCCCCGTGGTGCGGGCTCTTGGGGGGCGGGGCGCCCTTCTTTAGCCCCGCAGCGGGCACGGCCTGGGTGGTCCGGAGGGCAGCCAGTTCGGAGCGAAGCGCCGTCCAGAAGGGCGTGGGGTGGGTGTCGCCGGGATGAATGACGGAGGTGGCCGGGGCGTCGTACAGGAAGTAAAGGGCGGTGGCCACGGTGATGCCGGCGAGGTAACAGGGGAAGTGGGTGGGGTCAGTGAAGAAGGGGCCTTGTTGCATGGCCGCCACGGTGACGGAGACGGGGGCCAGGGCCAGGAGCGGGATGAGCAGGAAGATGGCGGAGGCGGCCGGGGAGTGGGTCGTCTGGTACATGGTGCCCAGTCTGCAGAAAGTTATGTGATCAAATTTAGCCTGTTATTTTACTATAGATTTTGGACACGAATTGCAGTGTTACTGAGTATTCGAATTAAAAATAACATTATTATTTATTTGAATTTTTAAAAGACATTTGATATTTTGCGGAAAAATTGATTGAACATCGTTAACATTTTTTCATTAATTTTGTTTGTAATTTATATGTATTTTTATCGTTTTCATTAGTACTAATATTCTCTTTTCGATTGTTCGTATTTTATTAAATAAATCTAGATATTCCAAAAGTTTTTACAGTTTTTATGAATATGACTTGAGAAATTAATAACTAACTATAGTCTATTTCGATACAAACAAGAAACTTCGCTTAATCAGCGAAAAGAACAACGCCGTGGAAATAAATTTTTGCACAGATGCCAAACATTTGTCATCACAAAAAATCAGCGTAAAAAACGCTGCCAATATTTACCAAAAATGATGGTTTCGACAGATAAAAATAATTATAATATAATATTATGCCATATAGAATTGTTTTTTTATGCGTTGCTAACACAAAATGCGCTCTTACCCAGCGGCCACCGCGACGACTAACAGGCCGAGATCCACCGGCGCGCCGAAGTCAAAGAACATGTGACTGTTGGAATGCCATATGGACAGCAGAATAATGCTGGTGAATATCCACTTGGCTTGCTGAAAGGTCAACAGAGCCGGCTTGGCCTGCAGAAAATGAGAGTGGCGATATTCATGTTTAGTTGTTCCACAATTCAAATTTTTTTTTAATGTCTTATGCACAGAATTTTATTAATTACGGATTAAAACCCTAGCGCGTTTTCGGAGCACATAATTATTACCTGACTCATACCAATTAAGCGCTGCTAGTTATGCGCTTAACACAAAAAATATCCTGATCGATGCAAAAATTGCGCTATTATTGTGCAGCATGATTGATAGGTACTGGTAATTATTGCGTTTTATCCAACAAAGTATGCTATTATGTATGTAGACAATTATGTATGTAGACAATTTATATTAAAATAATTTTGTGATTGTGGATCAAGGCGATATTTTGACGAATTTTACGTAATTAATTATAAAAATATGGTTGTCGGTTTACTTTTTTAAAAAAATACAATTTGTTGGTTTCTCGTGGTCTATTTTTTCTACTGTTTGACTTTAAAGTTTAGGCAGCTTAATTTTATAAGTAATTTCTGTACGTACCCCTTTCCCCGGAGGCTGCGTGTGTGTGACAATAAACGGCTCGACGAACCGATCCAGTATCTCGCGGGAGACGAGCGTAATCAGCAGGAAGATAACCGCCCCATCCAGTCCGGAGTTCATCAGCTTCTGCTGTTGCTCCGCTGGGAGGTGCTCGAAGCGTTTCGACTGAGAATCCGTGTAGGCCTTCCAGGTGTCGCGCGCCAGACTGGCGTAGTCCGACAGCAGCGCTGGTCCTTTGACCCACACATCCTCCACATACCCGAACGTCGTCTGCAGGAAGCCCGGCAGGGCGGTGTCGCCCGCAGCGTCGCCCATTGCGACAGTCAGACCAGAATAAAACGTCGATAACTAGGTGGTTTCAATGCTGATCGGGCGAGTTGGAAGTAGCGCAGGAGAGGACTGATAAAGCAGGAGTGGATTTCTTCTTACACATCGTGCGTACAGTGTGGTATGTTATCAATATCGCTAACTTCCTTTTTACACGCAATATTATGCTGGAATATTGCTGGTACCCTTGAGAAGGTCACGGTGTGCTCTGTGCACACACAAATCATAATTGCGACAAATCTGTAGCAACAAGACTTCCAATAATATTAGGCCATAGAAGATTCGCCATAAAAATCAGTTAATTGTCATGTACCGTTATTGTACGAAACTACACAGTTCTTACGATTAGAAAATAGGTTACTTCCACTACGAAAGTTTTGCTTCAGTCTGCGCCATGAACAAGATTAATTAACCCATCATCAATACTTTAAAAATGGCACCCAGTGACTAAGCCAGCATATTAAAGGAAAGCCAATCAGATTCAATATTATGGTTGTACCATGTTTTATTTTCAAGTTACGACAAGTTTGCCATAAGCTGGTTAGAACACTTACATTTCACGAAGGCGGAAGGCCCAAACCAATGAAGGCGATCCTAGTAAAAGGTTTTCCTATGCACTGGATTCAACGAATACATGATAATTATTATGTACTGGAATCAACCGTTGTTTGACAAAAAAATATATTCTAACAAACATTAATGTCGCGATTGAAAAAGAAACTGGTAGAACATATGTACTTGAGAACCAGAAACATCGGACGCCGGGTACACAAGGTCACTACACTGTCTACACACACAGAGTTCCGTTACGCTAAAGTAGAAAACAACTAAACAAGTAACTGAGTATATGATTTTCCCATCGAATTTTTGCAGGTTATGCGTGTCTGGTAAAATACTAAGTTGTACAAGTTCTCCATCTACAACCTCGAATTTGCATAAGAAACTAGAAAGTGCAAGGAAAGACGCGACAACTTCTCCAACTGTACACCTTTCAAACCGTCCTCGCACCACTTCTTCCCGTGGTAATGCGAAGCCGGACGCGGATCAGCCGACTGTGTTGCGCACAACATCTGCAAAAAAAGCGTATCGGTAATATTTGATCTAAATGTAGCTGTAAATGCATAACGTAATGTATAACGCAATAACGTCTTTATGCATATAGGTATGTATAACGTAATAACGATGTACAGATATGTATGTATATATATATATATATGTACTAATGTACATACGTTATTATACATACGTTATTATAAATGCATAAGTATGTATGTGTGATGTTCTATATTATTACTATATTATTATTATTTGTGTATAGATATTTATAAATGAACGTATGTACGTACGTATGTGTAAGTTAAGCATAACATAATATCTATATAATGTCATAATGTAGCTATAAATGCAGCTACGCTCAGTGCTCGAAACAAATGCTTTTCCCTGGGTAACTCGTACCTTGCAGACCAGGCTGGCTTCCCTATGCCGCGCAGCCCGCGGTCGGACTAGCCGTGCTAAACGCTGCGAGAGCTGCCTGCGGTTCGTTCCGAGCAGCGCAGGTAGCGCCGCCTCGAACGCCGCCCACAGTGCACAGCCGAAACCGCTATCCTGTTTCATGCACACCGCCGAGATCTTCACCGACAACTTTGGTGCCCTGGCTGGCTCACCGATCAAGCACACCAGCTGGGCAGTACAGTTCGCCATACGGATGGTGTCACACGGCAAACTGCCGCATAACTCCACAAAATCCTGCAAGCGATCATAGCAGCAGTCCTTCATCTTTACTATCGGCTGGGCTTCGTCCATACCCGTTCGATGTAGCCCACAGTGACCCTCTATCACGGTATCGGGAGCGCCGTTGATCAACAGCCGCCAAGTAAATCCGGTGATGCTCACCGTCCGCAGTCGAATTCCGGTGTGCCGCAGCACGCCGAAGACAGCTGACAAATCCTCCATGTCAAGAACACCCTTGTGGTCGGCCACGAGAAGGTATTGAGTGTTGACGGACAGGCATTTGTAGAAAACCGCTGCGATGAGGAAACGCCAATAGGTGCCGCGTTTTCGGCTAGTAATCACCAGCGTTGGGGTTAACGTCGGTGAGGTGAAGATACGGTTCCATGTCGCCGAGACGATGCGCAGTTTATGCTGCGTCACAGTGTCCAAATGCGAAAGCACTTCACTCCATATTTCCAACGGCAAAATACTGCAGTCGGCCATTTCCACCGGTTTGTTCGGTAAGGGTAAGCCGCAGATCAGGTAAAATCGGATATCAGCCAAGACCTTCTGCAAACCATATTGCAAACCGACAGTCTGCTGACCGATAAAATGGTTACCCGACAATTGGATGATCGCTAAGTTGCCGAATGACAGTTTGCTGAGCCCGGCATTTTGCTGACGACAATCTGCTAACTTAAGAAAATATAACGAAACATAAGTTTTTAAACGAAATATCAGAATGGCATAAGAATAAAGAAAGCTGGCATAAATAAAAATTATAAGAAAGAATTAGAAACAGTCGATATCAAGCATTATCGAGCAAAAGAAAACCTAAGAAACCAAGAAAACACCAAAAAATCTAAGAACCCCTGAAACTAGACCGATGCGTTAGTTGTCGATCAAGAAAATAATTTTAGAAAAATTCAGTCAGCAAAATAGTCGACAAGCGATTTGTCGGTCTGCAGGTTGTTTGAATCAATAATATGTCGGTCAGCAAATTGCCGGCAAGCAAAACTGAGGTCAAGGAATTGACACTGTATGGTTGGCTAATTTGTACAGCAATGATTACATGGATGTTTATTACCTGGAATCGTTGGTCGTTTGCATCACAGCTTTTCCACTGCTTAAGACTGCACAGAATACGTAACTGGCCGCCCACGTGGTCCACCATAGAGACTCTGGACTCTTGCCGACCGTAGTACAAATTCCACTCCCGGATCAGCGCGTCGACCTCTTCCGACGAGAGGAAGCTTAACTCCTTATCCAGCGGCACGCCGCACCGGACAAACGTCCCTGGTCTGACGCATACACCCGGGCTACGTTCGGGGGACTCCACGGGCCAGCGCAGCCGCTCAATGGGGACGATATTCGTGCAGGACACCTCACTGCCTGGATTTCTCCACTGTACAACGGCGGCCCCGTAGCGCAGATTCCGCTGACCGTCCACAACTCTGATCAGTTCAGCGTCCAGCCAAATCCAAGAAGCCGACGGGGTCTCCGGTACGAGCACTTGCACGAGAACTTTCTTAATCTGCTTCTGAATCTTGATCAGTTCGCATTCGCTGATCGGACTGTAATAAAAGACGCTACCGAATGGGAACAGTTCGCGGTGCCGATGGGGACAGAGAAGGTCGACGAAGAGGCCGTTGTCGGCCACGTCCACGACGCGCCCGAAACGCAAGAACCCATCGTCGCACAGAACATTCACGCAATTAAAGCGGACCATTTTTCTGGGGACGTCGATAACGGGCTCGTTGTAGAAAAAAAGATCTGGATTGCCGATCGTCGCCACACGGCCTTTACAGTCAAGTGAAAGGCAGTGAAAATCCTGGGCAATGCTACGTGCGAAATACAGTAAATTCCTAACCGAGTGAAACTAAAGGCAACACGGAATGGTGGTGATGTTCTACCCACGTTTTATATTTGGTTGAGCATCAGATCGTCAGGATTTTGCTTATGTCGCTGTATCCAAATCCGCTTTTGCGGCGCTGTTCATCCGGGTAGCCGCGCAATCCATACAAGGTCAAGATTATGCGGATGGCAGTTAAATTCTCGGTAGCAATTGCTTTTCTAATAGTAATGGAAACATCGCTGGCTGATGAGAGCCTCAGCCAGATGTCTCATTGACAAGTCAAGTTCTAATAAATTCTCCAATGACAGGTGAGTCTGCTCATTGGAAAGTTGTCATTGGAAACTTATCAGCTAACTAGCGAATCAAACATTTCACCCGAGCTTGCGAGGGGAAAGTTTGTCAAGGATATTTACGCAGTCCGAACCCCCGGTAATTCAGCCTCCCTTCCATTGGACTTGTCGTCTTCGAAGGGGCCGCTCTACGACTAAGAAACGCAAGAACAAGGGTAGCACATCTCGGAACGCACAGTCACTCGTGGATGAGTCCGGAGAAGATGACGACAAAAACGCGAGTCGGAACAAGGCTACGGCCATTCCGATAAATCGGACGGCGATTATGACGATAGCGACGGGAAAGGGCAGTCGCAAACAGCGACACCCGAAGACCCGTACCCTGAGATACAGCCGGGCAAATTGGAAAAACTTTCGGCAGAAGCCCCGAATGACCCGATAGGTGAAGTGGAGGCCGGACCGAGCGTCCCATCCCAAGCGCAAGGCAAAGGTCGGTTAAACCAGCAGATCCTTAGAAAAAGGCCCCCAGCCAACCGCCCGACCGGCTACTCATGGTTTGGCATGAAGACAGTGACACAGCTCTAGTCTTACTTCGGAAGATTCCTTCAAAGCCTATAATGCGGCTTCCACCACGGCAAAAAAAAAACCGGCAACCATGCGTGCCATCCAGACCGAAGCCTCGGATCTCCGACGCCGATGAAAGATGGGCGCACCTACACGCTGCACTCAAGGCACTGTCTTGGTCGGGTCCACTGTTTGCAAACCTGGACCTGGCTTACCAACTGTTTAAGCACTGGCGAGTCGACCACAGCGGCAGCTGGTTTGACCTTAGCCTCGACAGAGTTGGGGAAAACTGTCGGTTGACTTATAAGACAGGCGCCATGCTCCGGGTCTATACGAAAAAAGAACGGGCATTTGACATGTTCAGGAGAGAGAAACAGGACCCGGCTTGGTAATCGTCCAAAACCCAACACGAGTGATAGTTTTGTAATCAGCTGCAATCCGTCTGGGCGTCCTACAATGCGCCATGACGGTACTCGCCCTATACTTGGGAACAATGCCACTGATTTATGACCTAAGTAATACATGATACTACGATTTATAAAGTACAAACCTGTATGCTGTTGGTTCGGTGATTTATTGTAAAAAGCCGAAATATGTTTGGTTACCCATTTTATTCTCGAAGTAGAAACAGCAGAACTAGATTAGAACCGCTTTAGTTTACGGAACACGTACGGGAATCTGTATCAATTAAGCGTGCTGCGAATACAGTGTATACGCCCAGTCTTACCCCTACTCTTAAATACAAAGATCAGTGATTGTTTTAAACCTGTACATTGCCGTCCCTTAAAAAACAAACAATTATCAACAGGAAAACTCAT